AGGGTCGAAACGTTGCGAAACCGATAACTCTTTTGGTTTTTAACTCGTTGTGGCTTAACCAAGGAATTACTCATTAATGTGTTGTGATATGTTAAAATTTTCCTTAATTTCGTTAATCACAAACGTAAAACATACCAGGTATATACATAATACAGACAGGAACAAACAAGGACTGTATACGCCTAGAAACATACCAGACACTATATCATCAAGACTATGGCTGAAATGATGAAAAAACTCGATTACAGTGCTTCTTTTCGGAAGGGGGCTGCTTGAATTCCCTATGAAACTGCAATAGCTGCGATCAATTTTGAGTGGCAACAGAGAGGCATCTCTATGAAGCTTAAGAGTCACGTATATCATACAACAATAAGAGATGTAATACGTTACGGTAGCGAAACCTGGCCGCTTAGGGTAGAAGACATGAACCGTCTTCAGGTATTTCACCAACGATGTTTGCGTTCAATCGCTCGCATTGAGTGGCACCAGCGGGTGAACAACGAGGAGGTTAGGAAGCAAGCATTTGGTATTGATGGCCAAATGAAATCTTTTATTCAATCCTTACACTTGCACAGACTTAGGTGGTTAGGTCGTGTACTAAGAATACCAGCCAATCGTCTGCCACACCGAGCACTGTTTGCGGACGTTGAAGTCGATTGGCGCAAGGTGCGAGGTGGACAGATGATGACCTGGCGTAGACAAATAAAATAGTTCACCAAGGGGTTGGTCACTGTAGATCGGGTTCGTCTCCGAGGCTGGAGCCCTCGCCACTCATAGAGTCGATTGCTTGAAACTTTAGGTGAGATGGTGGCTAACCGTGCTCAATGGACTGAATGTTGTCGTTGTTTGTGAAGTGAGTGCATTCACTGACGAGTGTTAGTGGAAGCCGTGAGGATGCTGTCTTGCTGATGACGCCTTACTTCCACTTACAGCTCGGTTGTTTGTTTGCAAGGTTTGGGCACCTTGATGTTGTGTATCTGAATGTAGACAGCTATTTTTAGCGATCAGGCCTCTTCTACTCTCTCTTTCTTCTTCTCTCTTCCTAAACAGGGTTTGTTCCTTCTTCATGGTTATGTGGCAGTTAAGAATCAGTGTGAACCACTTATGTATTGTTGTCTATGATGGTGATGACTACAAGGTCTTGGGAAGTGCAGATACCACTTTAAATTATCTTCGGCTCGGTTTTTCATTTACCAATTGTGTGTACTGTGAGGTAGTAAGCATGAGATAAGACAGAAATATGGTGTTAATTGGAGTATGTCTCTGTTCCTTTTTCGTCTGCAAATTAGTGATCATTTAATATTCATAATTTGTAGCAATTGAGTAACAGGTTAAACCTCTGAAGTGTTACTTTTATGGCGGTAAGACATGACTGACCCATCAACACACCAATACGTTCAGTCAAGGTCATGTGGGCATAACACCCAGATCAGTTAACAGTCTCATTATCGATTCACGTCGATAACTCGAGTATAAAGAATGTTAGTCGCGCCAACGTCACGAACATTGCCGAGTCTATCGCACAATATTTGATTGCAATTTATTGTAATTGATGCCCTAAACCTGACCGAAAATCTGAAGGGCCGAGTCGACTTGACCAGTCATCGAATACGTCCTCTATAGAGATAAGACAGCGGTTTTTCATTACCAACCACCGATTGAGGCCGAAAGCTAAAGGTATTAAGCTGTTTGATTGCCAGTGAACGGTTGATCGCGACTGGTTTTAGTCATGGAAATAATAATTGGAATGAAACGTTAACCAGCCAAGGTACAATGCGATACGGTCACTGTCCAACACTGGCGTTGGTGGATTCCAGCGTCAACTGCCGGGGCACTCAATCCCTTGGATCCTTTGATAGAGTCCACATAAGACAGTGGGACAAGTGGGTAACAGAGTCAGAAACATGAAATTTCTGAGCTCCTGGCGTGGCTTCGTAGCCCAGTTGGTAGGGCGCTTGCTGTGTTCAGGCATATTGCTTTTGTCACTGGTTCGAATCCAGCCGAAGCCCTGACTTTTCACAATTGGGTCGCCACTAAAATCAATGGAAACCCAACCAGTACACAGGATAACATCGGAAAATATGGAATGAATATTTCTCACATTCATAACCCCGTAACTCGCAAGTTGAAACCGTTATGCGATAATATATTGGCCGTGTTCAGTTGGTAATCGCTTGATGCGGTTCATTTATTACCTCCAAAATACACTTTGACCGTTTCCGCTGAAGTCATGTCCACAGGTTGCAGTCTCAGAGAGATGGCAGTCGCGGCCATTGTCGTTTGTCAGGTTAAAGAAGTCTATCATTTAAACTACAATTTTGACTTCCGTATGAACCACAATTAACCCTTTTGCTTGAACATGGACGGGCGTGGAAAAAAACTGCAAATTCCGAGTATGACCATCACTGTGTACACAGCGTAAATCAGTCAATACATTAACTTACCGGAAAGTGATCTGTCTGACTGTTGTCCAGGTGTATCCAAGTTGCCGCAGTTCGTCCTGCAGACCAGATATAACTGCTTCTAACACAGAAAACTGTGATCCGAAACCAAGAGTACACATCATGAAAAAGAAGAGGACGGCCCAAAGCGATGGTAGTGGCATGTTCGTTAAAGCTTCTGGATAAACCACAAAAGCCAGTCCAGGACCTGCACGGAGCAAAATACTGACAGACGTAAATAACACGAGGAGGTTGTGATCCACAGAGATAGTAAAGAATACGGAAAAGCTAGGTTTTATCGCGCTTGACTAAAACTTATTCAGCTGCGTGTTCATTAGATAAAGGAAAAGATCACATGTATGCATGGGTGAAGAGAACGGCGATGAGCAGAATTAAAGAACTAATAAAAAGCACTTGAAAGAATGTAATGAAGCGTGTATCACTATCCTTGTTACCATCATCAGCATCATCGTCATCATCAACATCACCATTAAAATAAGTAGAGACAACAACACATCAGTGCTTCGCACTGACGCAGCACTACGATACATTCGTGAAGAGAAGAGTAGGCCCTAGCTAGTGAATAAACGAAGGAAGAGAGGGGACATAAATTATAGAAACAACAACGCCTATGCTCAAACATAAAACACCAGAGTGGCAAAACCTTCCAAACAAACAAAAGAGCTATGGACGGCGTCATCAGAAGGACAGCTTCATTATGGTGCTTATTGTTACACGTCATTAGTTGCATTCACTTCACAAACAACTCAGCCAAACAACACCAACAACTACACCACTCAGTCAAACTAATCACTACCTGATTCTGTGAGTTGCCGGCCAACGATTCTGTGAGTCGCGATCGTCTCAGCCTATGAAGAGAATCCTGACCTACTGTGGATGATTCTTTGATAATTGATTTTATTTAGTTATGTCCAGTTGTCGTTTGCCCATCTAATATCTTTAGACCAGTCGGACGCGAAATTGAAATAAAGCGCTTGGTGTGCCAGATCACTTATCGTCATCCTTATTACCCGTCCTAAATATCCATATTGACACTCACAATCATATACACAAATTTCATGATCACTGATTAACAGTCGGCGTCATCCGATGCCAGCGAACGAACGTAGACATCGATGCCTAGATACCTGGAAACGGTTCATGCCGCTTATTCTGAGTGATCAGGATTCACAGTCGTAAATTGGCACTGTCTTCAGAACCAATTCATACACGCAACCCCTAAGCTTCGAGGAGATGTCACCCTGTTGATAGATATCCCTAAGTCAGGTAATATCTTCCTAGGTTTGAATATATCGGATCCTATTTCATTTCGCCTACACAACGGTTGCAGATACAGTTTCTTGAATGAACAAACCGTGGAGAATTCCCCACAACCTAATTATTGAACATTGACTCTGCGTAGTCACATCAGAAGCACTTCGTACTTTCAGGTTGCAAAGTGTATTCTGAAATATTTCACAGAGTGCAGAGCAGAAACTGATATTGTCTGAACTGTTTGGAAATGGGCAAATGACAATACCTGGTTGGAAGTATAACTAAGATCAGTCAGTCCTCACTAGGTCGGAGATGCACGCAGATATTTTGAATGTCGCAGACAATTCTGCGTTATGTAGTCTATAACAAAATTGAACAAAACTTGAAGAGAATGGATGAGCTGGAGATATGTTGCCCTTGTTGCTGAAACTATTCTTCATTGGCCTTAATTCCGGCTGAAGTATGGGAATGAAGTGTTGCCAATGTGTTCACATACTTGTTCTTTATACTCCTGCATTTGAGTGACTCAGAAGGTTCTAGTTCGATTGACTGAATCAAAAGCACCTTCATGATCCATACGAACTATAACTGTTGGCAGGTTTGACGTTGCTCCAGAGTGAAAACTTAGTCCACGCATTTACATCCAGGAAGTGACCCAAACTTCTACCTTTTGTTGAACTGTAATTATGATCTGGGTTAATCTGATCTCAGTTTGACTTCTGCAAGAACTCTTGATTGGTTTCTTCAAAATAACGATTGTTACCGAGTGAGTTCGGCACAGAGAGATACTCGTCCTCCTGCGCACTGGTTCAGCCAACTGAGTTGAGGTCTGTACCGATGTTTCCTCATTTTTTCGAAATGGGTTGACACGAGGTTATTCAAGCCATCATCAGCAACATCGATATTTTCAAGTTTGTGTCGTTCTATTGAGTACAGTGGCTCAGGTTGTGGTTGGTCCGGACAATGGTCCACGGAATGCAATAACGGACTAACGTTGTGATGGATGATTTTAAATCCAGCGACCAGGATACTGCATTTCAATGTTGTGACGGTAATACAGTAGAAGCAGGAAGCCAGCCAACCTGGTGTTTGAACTGTTCTATCTAGTGGTCTAACTCGATTAACTTTCTGTAGTGTTGTGAACATTCAAGACTATGTAAGCTGAAATACTGTCACACACGTTTTACTTAGACTGGGGAACGGTTAGAGTTCTCAACCAAAGTCTTTGTTTCAAAATTTTGTACATTACGGCGTGCTACAATCTACTAGAACTAGTACTACTGTACCCCGGAAGTACTGTCTACCCTTTGCTAACCCTCAGTCTGGAAGAATGGCGGATAGCAGTTTGTCAGACTACCACGTTTGTCTGCATAAGATGAATGATTCTGTTGGCTCAGTTTGTCCCAATAAGTTATCGGGATACAAAAGGCGTTACACCAAGACAAGATCCAGTCCAACTGTGACGGGTTTTCAGATTTGATATAAATTATCATATTGTTAGACAACACAGTTCACCAACTGTCTCAATTTCTTCAATCAGAAAGTAGATGGTTCGAGGGGCTCAAATCCGGGATTAGAAGATGACCCGTGGTTTTAGTGAATTTACACAAAGAGAATGTAAGTGTACCGTATGCAATACTAGGTTACACAGAAACTCCAGTAAACTATGGGTACATGGTTACTTTTAACGCGAGTCTTTTTGACAATAAAAATGTTAGCGAGTTTCTGTCCACATCGTCACTTCGAATGAACGCGACTGGCTAGTTCAACTAACATTTATGTACAATGGATTGCAGTCTACTGCAGTTAGAGTTGTAGTTTTCAGAAGTATAGTCTGTTATGCAAGATTTTAAAATTGTAACCCGCACATGAAGCGTACAGTGCAGTGGTGGCATTGCATACTCGGTGGAAATTTATCCAGAGTAGCAAACTGAAAACGATCGTGGGTTAGACGGCAATTTAAGCCGGAAGTTTTAACATTGAGTCACTTCATAATTTGTCATTTTACCAAACACTGTGCTAATAGTGAAAATTAATGGTCAGTGGTATCAATGAATGCCAATTTCGACTCTTCATGACAGTTTAAAGTGGCTCAATTGCGAAAAATCTGGGTTTTGGCTGGATTCGAATCAGCAATAGCATGAATATACCCAAATGATGCAATAGCTCTTGCAGTTGAACTACGAAACCACGCTGGCAGCTCCAAAATTGTACATTTTGCCTCAATGACTCACCCAACCCAATGTGCTGTATGAGATTTAGCAAATGAATCATGGAGTTGTCTACACGAACAAGATTTCCCCCACAGTTCATGTAGACATCAATCAAAACCACTGCTGCGCACAGACCTTGTACTACTGATAAATAATGTGGCAGATTCGGTATGTGCGAAGAGATTCAAGTTAAGTCTGTTTTGGCGGTTTAGATCTTACATCATTTGATGGTTGCCAACAATTTATTGAAATGAGAGGGGTAATAGAGGTACTAATCTGAAGTTATCGAATTCCTGGGTTGACTCAACCGACTAGCTGATAGAACGCATCGTCTGCGGGCATATGGTTTCTGTTCTTTGTTCGAATCTAGTTGAGGTCCTCCTTTTCAAAGTTTGAATCTCTTTGTAAGTAAAAAAACTACTTGTCATTTAACACACTACGCAAAACACTGAAGCGTGTTCCTACCTGAGTGACTCTGAGTACATTCCACTACGTGGAACAAAATCATCCGAACAAACATCTAGACAGTTTTTGAGAATACACATTAACTAGGCCCATTCGTTCATCGGGCGCACAGTTCCGTTGAAGTTGGTGACAGAGCATCAAGTACATGCAGATAATACCAGAGTAAGCTATAAGTTCCTTGGTTCATCTACATATTCGCTGCCCGTTTCTACTGTTTGGCAGCTTTCCTACAGTTAATCAAAAAACACGACATTCCAAACGTCACATCAAATATGATGGAGAACTCGTTCATAAAGTCCAATAATGTGCCTGCTGGACTAATTAGTCATACTCATCATGTCACTATAATCAAAACTGTAGCTTCTAGTTTCTGATTGGTCTGAATGGCTAGAATCAACCAATTCACGTAAAAACCCTCAGCGAAGTAGCGAACGAGCTCGTTTTCAGTGATTCATCATCAGGCTAAATACATCACATTTATATAACACATTTTACAGGGAAACATGATGGGGGCAAACGGAACGGGTGGTTAATGAGGTCAGCCAATTCAGTGTCACAATTCATCAAGTACCCACTTGGACAGTGGTTCTTGAAAGGATAACAGGAAGATGGAGA